TCGTGGCCCTGGCCCCACAGGGAGCCCCACCGAGGCTTCATGTCGGCACACACCTCTCGAGGATCGTGGCTCTGGCCCCACAGGGAGCCCCACGTTTCCCGTTTCCCGTTTCCCTCCCCCCCCCCCGGGGCTTCCAGGTAGCGTCCTTACGAACAACCACAACAATCATTTTACCCTGATGCGCGATGCGTCCACACGCAGCATGCGGCCATCATGATAACCATCCCAATCATGGGGGATTATTGTTCAATCGCGGGGGTCCGTATTCCCCTTCCCAATTCTCCCGCCCAATGAGGTCTTGCAAACACCTCCTCCGAGGAATTGTAACATATCCCGCCTCGAAAACACATGCCCGCGCCCTGCTGCGCCGATGCGAGACCGCCAGTGGAGCCCCAGCCAAGGGTATAGCAAAAGGAAGAATCGAGCGACAGGATTGGTTTGGTGGGGATGGGGGCCGTCGGCGGCGAGGCAAGGACCTGGCCCTGAGTAGAAAGGGCGGAAATCTCGAGCAGGGCCGCTGTTGTTGCTGGGAGCGGCGCAAAAGTGCTGAAGAGAGCAGGGCGCTAGCCCAGCTTAAAACAAAACGAAATCTCGAGCGGGAGCGCTGGTTCTGTTGGGACGGCGGTTGCCGGCGGCGAGGAGGAACACCGCCTTGAGTAAGAGGGGGGAGGCCTCGAGCGGGAACCGTGGTTTTGTCGGGACGGGGGCTGTCTCGGCGAGGAACAGCACGGTCCTGAGAAAAAAAAGAGGAAACCTCGAGCGGGAGAGTTGTTCTTGATGGGAGCGGCGCCAATTCAAAAAAGAGTAGGGCGCTAGTCTAGCGTAAAACGGAAATCTCGGGCGGGAGCGTTAGTTTCGTTGGGGCGGCGGTTTTCGGCGGCGAGCAAGAGCACCGCCTTGAGAAAAAAGGGAGGAAGTCTCGAGCGGGAGCGTTGTTGTTGCTGGAGGCGGCGCCGCTGAGAGAAAGAGTAGCGCGCCAGTCCAGCGTAAAACAGGAGGACGTCTCGAGCGTGCGCGCTGGTTTTGTTGGGACGGTGGTTTTCGGCGTCGAACAAAAGCACCAGGTCTGAGTAAAGAAAGAGGAAGTCTCGAGCGGGAGCGTTGTTGTTGTTGGGGGCTCGTTTGGGCGCCACCCCAAACCGCTCGAGCGCGAACCTCATGTTCTATGAAAATGTAGCCGGCGCCGAGGCGAGAGCGCCAGGGCGCCTGGGGGGTCCAACAATAATAATAATAATGATAATAATAATAATTGTTTAGGAATTGGGAATTAACACTCAACAACAACAACAACCACAACAGCAACGACGCCAATCATTCTAAGACTGTTCGTTCCGATCTGCTCACATGCTAATCAATACGTATATCCCAAACCCTCGGTACCCGCCCTCGTCGTCTTACCCCCTTGGGGGTACATCTTCCTTCCCTGCCACGCGTGTTTAGTGCAGCCGCTGAGACAAGGGAAGAGAAGACGGGTAAAAGAGGGAGAGATAATAGTGGAGCATGAGAGAAATTAGCAGGAGGGGGGCAAGGAGCAGACAACAAGTGGTAGAACCGGAAGGGCAGATCGGGTGTGCAGACCCATAGCAGGCAGGTCGGGAAGGCGGGCCCAGGCGACGAGGTCGAGCAGTCGGGTTGCTGAAGCGTGGGTCCTGCATGAATCGCGAGGCAGTCTCGAGCGATAGCGCGATTCCTAAGTAAATCGTGAGAAAAGCCAGCGTGGGCCAAGAAGGGCATAAAATCCGAGGCCACAGAGGGCAGCGACGGGGCCGCTGAGGGCAGCACCGGGGCCACGAAGGGCAACGATGGGGGCCACAAAGGGCGACAGCGGGGCCACTGAGGGTAGCACCGGGGCCACGGCAGCGAGGGGGTAATGAAGGGCGACAGCGGGGCTACGAAGGGCATGCGTATGGGGCCACGACGGGCGCGTGCGAGCGGGGGCCACGAAGGGCATAGAATGCCGGGCCACAAAGGGCAGCGACGGAGCCACTGAGGGCAGCAACGGGGCCACGAAGGGCAGCGAGCGAAGGCAACCGCGGAACCAGTACGGGCAGCGAGGGGCATCGAAGGAGGGCGAAGGGCAGCGAGCGGCGACTGCAGTCATTAACGGGCTGGTCGGGCGGGCAGGCCCCGACGGGCGGGTCGAGCAGGCGGGCCGTTGAAGCGTGAGTCCTGCTTGAACCGCCAGGCAAGATGTAGCGGGAGCGCGATTCCTGGGTGTCGAGGACTGGTGTCTGAATAAATTGCGAGGAACTGTCAAGCGAAGTGCTTCGGTGGGAAGTTGCGAGGAAGTCCGAAGCGAGAACGCGACTCTGCAATACATTCTCACGAAATATCAAGCGGGAGCCGCGATTCGGTGGTAAATTGCAAGGAAGTCCCAAGCGAGACCGTGATTCTTCAATACATTGTGAGGAAATATCAAGCGGGAGCCGATGTTGTTGCAAACCGAGGGCCAACGACACAGTTTGAGCCCAAGACTTCCCCTGATAAGCACCAAGAATTGGGTGCGAGCCATGGGAGGGGCACTTAAATTGAAGAAAACAAGGTGCACCGGGCGGGGGGGATCAACAATGATTATTCTTCAGAAATGAGAGTGCAACAACAACAACCACAACAACAGCAACAACAACAACAACAACAACGCGACAAGCAGAATTCCTACCACGATTCCCTTATTCAGCCACGCACCCAGGGACAATGAATGACCGCTGGGCAACCTCACTCTGGTAAACCGATACATATGTATATATACAAGGCTGCAGTGGCGCTTCGCGCCATGCACCTTGGTCCTTGCAGTTTGGTATGCAGGCGGAATGGCAGGAAGGTCAGGCCGACAATTTAACGATAACTCCTGGTTACCTTTTCTGGCATCGCCGCTATAATAATGTTATTCGTTATCCTTCCTCCACGCTTCTTTTTCCTTATTTTCAAATGCCCTGCGCATTCTCCCCATCCTCCTCATCTCTTTTTTGCGGAGGCTCCTCCTTGGAGAGCCTCGAGGGGCCTCACAAAAATTGTTTCAGGCTTTCTTAAGGCCTTCTGGAGACCTCCTGGGCGTATTCTGGGGGCCTCCGGGGGCTTCCTCGGGCCACCCTGCCTCCAACCGCGGTCTCCCTGAACGACCGGGTCACGATTTGGAATGCTTCGGAGGGTGTCGTTGGGCCATCTTGGGCCGCCATGGGGCTCTCTGAGGGCCCTCTCTTTTGGGGCTCGACCCGTGTTGTGACGTTTTGGGGCTCTCTTGGGCTGCCTGGAAACCCTTACGGATGGTTGTGGGGCGATTTTGGAGCCTCCCAGGCGGCTTCGGACGCCCAGAAGACTGCCGTCTTGGAGCGTCGGGAAGCCGAAAAGAGGAGAACCCTAAACTGGCCAACAGAAAATCAATGATTTTTGCCTCGGGGGGCCTTCTTGGGAGTGCTCTTGGAGGCCTCTTTGGGGCCGTCCTGGAGGCCTCTTGGGCCATCTTGAGGTCACGTCGGTCACTCTTGGAGCGCTCTTGTGCTGTCTTGGGGGTCTCTGGGACGTCTCCGATGACCCCCCTGATCGCCCTAGGTGTGCTGGGAAGGCTGGGCAAAACGCCATGTGAGGCCCGGTGGCCGCTTCGAGGCCCGTCTGGAGGGTCCCAAAGCCCCAGATCCCGGGGGGGGGGTGATGGGTTTTCCCCCCGCCCAGGCTTATAAAAATATAAGAAGAGGAATAGACTCAACCACCTTGGACTCGGGGCGGAGAGATGGGAGAGGGGTAGACACCAAGCTGTCCTCGCCATCATCCGCCATGACCGCAATCGCCATCCCTTATCAGAGACAACGCCCACCACCGCTCGTTGCGCGGACTACCAGACCACCCCCTCATCTACACTTCGTGGAAGAGACCACCACGTACGATGGCAGCCTGCGAGGAGTGAGACCACGCACGATGGCAGCCGCGGTCACGCACGGAGGACGAGTTAGTTGTCGACATCCTGCCCGGCTGACACTGTCGCAGGAGGCCGTCGACTGTACACCCACGGTGATCCTGACCAGGCCAGCCCCGGACCCTGGAGCAGCGAGCATGCCCTCCTGGCCTGACAATTGAAGGCATATCGAGACCGCCCTTGCGGCCCAGAAGCTGGCCTGCACACGGGTGCAGAAAAGCAAGACGAGTCGCAAAGGGTCTGCTCTTCCTCCTCCCCCCACCTCCTCATTCACGTGCCCATCTCTGCCTGCGGCAGGTTGGTGTCGTGACGAGCCCGGCGTTGGTTCACCGCGTGGGTCGTTCAGCGTTGAACGACCGGCGTCATGTCGATCGCAAGGTCGTCCCGTCGTGGTCGTCTCTACGCCACTGGCGACGTTCACCCTTAAACACCCATGGCAGGTCGCCGCAGCGTCGGCAGGTTACGAACCTGTCGTTCATTGGCAGCCGCTCCCTCTAGTCGCAGCTCGACTGTGCCAAGTGCACTCCATGTGATGGGTTGGAACGGGCGGGGGGGGACACAATGCGTTCAGACCTTGCAGGGGCTGATGGCCATCTCGCTTCCTTGACGCGCTCCTGGGGCCAGTCGTACTTGCACCACAAGACATGCCTCGAAGGTATTCGATCGTGCACGGTCCTGCGGTCAAGAACTCTTGCTTGGCGTGCCGCTGCGGCAGAGCCGGCGTCGCGCCACGGCCTCCAAGCTGACAGCGTGTCGCTCCGCTCCGCGCGGCGGGAGGCTGGGAAAAGCTCGGGACGCTGGCGCTCGGGGACTGGGAAGTGGTTGGAGCGTGCCGCGCCGAGGCGCGACACCCAGAGCAAACCATCCTGACCGCATCTTCTCCTCTTACCCTCCCCCTCTTGCAGCACCCACCCAAACCACTGACTACGGCGGGGGACCGACCACAAGCAACCTTCCACAAGAAGCCCAACCCTGAGACCCCAGGACGTCCATGGATCCTTGGTGCAGGAACGTCACCACTCTTTCCAGCGCAAAATCATCGACCCCCCCAAAAAAACCCGGGGGACACTGGAGGCGAGCAGAGTGTTTCTTGGCATGGGCCTCTTTTCTGCGGCCGCGAGCTGCGGTCCCCTCGGCGCCCCCCTGGGAGACCGCCGCGCCGCCCGCACCCGGCAACGGCCGCGAAACTGCTGGAGGTCATGCCGGGCGCCACGGCGGCGCCGCGGCTCGCCTGCGCTCCCGGGAGGGGCAGCAGGAGAAGAGAGGGCGGCATTCACATGTTTTGATGGGCTTGTTTGCCACCACCACCACCAGAAGTTGAACGGGGGAGGGGGCCCTCCTACTCCTCCTCCTTGAACTCCTCTTCCTCCTCCTCCTCCTCCTCCTCCTCCTCCTCCTCCTCCTCCTCTCCGTCCTCCTCCTCCTCGTCCTCCTCCTCCTCCTTCCCCCCTCCAACTTATGGTGGTTGTGGTGGAAAACAGGCCCATCATGTTTGGCCGCGGCGCCAGCGAACGCCCTGCACGGTCCAAGCTTTGGAAGGGTCGCTGTATGGTGCGAGTTTACACGAGAACATGGGAGGCAAGCGGAAGAGGGCGGCCGCGGAAGACGGCACGCACTTAAAGCCCTGCGAAAACGATGTCGAGGAGGGCAAGGTTTGTGGTTTTGGGCCGCAAGCGGCTCAATGGGTACTGTCTCGGAAGAGAACATGAGCTGTCTCGACACATGCTTCCGGAGGTCCACGCGCAGTTCTTGGATCAGCGCTGGGTCCCCTTTGGTGGCGCCTCCTGCGCGCCCCTGGCGCGCTCCCTGCACCAGGGAGGGGGGGGTCCAGGAGGAAGAAGAAGAATACGCAGAAGAACAAGGGTCCAGAGATGGGGAGACGACACGAGGACGGGAATAGCAGAGACGGCAGCGAGGGAGAAGAGGTATAATAGGCAACAACGAAAGACTGGCAGAAACCACGAGGAGGACAGCCGACGACGTGGCGACACATCAAGAGAAGAGGCAAGAACCCGTCTAGTCGCGAACAGTGGTTCGAACATCTCTTGAGATGAGTCCCCGCTCCAGAGGGGAAGGCGACGCAGACGCACAAGGCGGGCCCGCCGAAGGCTCAGCACAAGATGTAGTTAGAGGATGCGCCAGATGCTGGAAGAAAGGAGCCAGGGAACGGTGTACAGCAGGCTTGTGGTAAGATGTAGAGGCGCTGGGACTGGAAATGGAATGGTAGCGGCATTCAGAGGCATCGACAATGATCGTTGACGACAAAAGAACATTGTGGCTTGTGGCGGGCGCAGTGGCAACGGGAGCGGTTACGATCGACAAGGCTGCAGGGATGGTGGCAGCCGTGGTGGTAATCATCAACAGCGGCTGAGCTGATAGTCGCGCGACTGATGGTGGCAGTGGTAGTCGCGGCGGTAATTTGCTGCGGTGGGGGTCGCAGGGCCGAGAGTGGTAGCGAGGAATCGCGGCGGACGAACGTATAGAATTACTTCGGGCACACGCGAGAGCCTCACCAGCTCTTGCCGTCGCAGGATGGGCGGCGGAGTGAAACATCACTATAAGTGAGGCAGGGTGAGGCCATGTGCAAGCGCTGGGCCCCGCAGGACATCAGGAACACAAGTTGAGGCCATGCACAAGCGCTTGGCCTCGCGCGCGCTCAATTACGGGGGATACCTTGTGTATGGGAAGAAGCAAGGAAGGGAGGAAGACCCGCCTCAGGCCCGAGACGGGCGGGACGCCTCTGGCGAGTACCAGGACGACTGCAGACCAATGGGAAGAATTGCCCGAAAACAAACATCTGGCGCGCCGATCTCCTTGATGCGTGGGCCCCCGCACCCCTCGACCCATTCCCAAAGACTGGCGTTGAATCCCGAGTCGTTTGCTGACGGCCCCATGCCCCGAAACCGGCCTGCAGGGGCTCGAAACTGCGACGAACTGGCCGTCTGGATAGGCTTCGAGGCACCGGATGTTCGCGGGTGGACGAACAGCGGCATGAACACACTGCTCCGCAAACAGGAACGCCTGCCCCAGGGCAGCTGGGGAAACATCGTGCCTCCCGTTCGGCCGGCGGCAGCACGGCGGGGTTTAACACTACCAGCCGCGCTGGGGCGGGCGCTCCCGACGGCGGACAAGTTCATACGATGACTTTCCTCGCCCGCCGGGCTGAGAAGAGCACCGAGAACTGCATCAACATACCATCTCGGAGGTCCGCGCAGGTTTCTTTGGACCTGCGCTGGGCCCCCCCCTTCCTGGCGCGTGGAGCGCGCCAGGGATGGGCGCCGGTGGCGGCGCTAGGGGGGCCCAGCGCCGATCCGAGAAGTCCACGCTAACCTCCATGCCGTGTCGTAGTATTCTAAGGGCGCCCAGTGACACACACATACATGAACACAAATCCCAGGATTCCCCATATTTTCCCAAATTTTCTGGGTTGTCGTCTTTCCCCCCACTTCCCATATTTTCCCCTACTTTCCTGGGGATCGACGATTCATTGTTTCTGTGTGTCTTTTCCTCTCCTGATATTCTTCGGAAGACAGGCAAGGGAGATGAGGGGCAACGATAGGGGGCGACCAGCTCAGGGGGGTAACCAGATGGACCTGGCATAGGCGATAATGACGTCGCCGACAGATCGGCGATAGGCCCCCCCTAACGAATCCGCACGGTCCTGGGCGGGGCGGCCCATCGGACCCCTATCGGCGATGAGCGGGCGACTGCGATTATGTTGCTCCCATCGCACTGAAGGACCACATCTCAGAAATCATCCTGAGCACCCAGAACATTGTCGAAGCAGTGTCGAAGCAGTGTCGAAGCAGTGTCCCCCAGGGCCCGATGCGTGGAAACCCTCGAGTTTCGGTACTTTCTTGGTGCTCGAAATTCTCTGGTGAACAAGGCTAGAATAGGTTGGAGCAGCATCAGACTGCGAGTCGATGCAATCGATCCCCCATGAGCCTGCGCCCCCTAACGCTGCCCCTGAGGGGAGGGGAACAGCGCGGTCAGCACGCGAAGTTCGAAAACCACGGGGCCCCCGGCCTCGCGAACTGGCCCTGCCCGCCCGGCAGCGGCCGCGGCGGCAAGCCTGCCCCGTGCACGGCCTCCTCGGCCGCCCCAGGGGGCTCGGCGCCGGAGCCGGCAGCAGCGCCAGAGGGGCGGAAGCCGGTCCTTTCAGGGGACGGAGAAGGGTACAAATGAACGTTTCCGCCGTCGGGAACGCCTGCTCTACACGTAGGGAGGAGGTGGGGGCGTGGTTCCTCACGTGGAACTTAGGGGATCGGGGAAACATGTGGATCTTCAGTTCCATGACGCGGCTGGAATGTTCCCACCGTTTCCACTTAGCGGATCGGGGACTGCTCCAGGGCGGCTGGAAAGCTTGCACCCCTACCGTGCCACGTCGGGGTGCAACATTTCTTGGCCGCCCTGGGGCAGGCGTCCCCGACGGGAGAGAAGTTCGTCTTGCACCGCTCTTCACTGGGGAAGGCGTCCCCGACGGCAGAAAAGTTCATCTTACACCGTTCCCAGACCCCAGACACCATGATTCTTTCATTACGTCGACCCCTGGACCAGTTTTTCATCCTGAGTAGTTTTTTCACGGTCTCGAGGACCCCCAGCGGCCGAAAATGGCAACAAACCTCACGTCATGTTTTTTTCACTACCCGAGGGGGTCTGGCTTCTTCGTCCCCAGCGTCCTGGAGAACAAGTCGTCTGGTGGGGGGGGGCGTCCAATGATGGCCCCCTCGCCTCACCGAGCCTGGCCTGGCCAGCCCTTGGGGTCCCGGGATCGGTGGCCTCTCTGCGCCGCGCTCTGACCAGCGCCTGGACCCTGAGACCCTGCAGGCATTGCAGTTTTGTTCGAACGGGCGTGCTCGCTCGGTTTCGGGCCCCAGGACCATCACAAATCGACGTGGCTCGAAAAATGCCGGGACCGACCACAACGATGATTGAAACGAACTGGCGCTTACAACTAAAAACAAAACGAGGCCCAACGTTGCAAACGAACGCTGAAAACGAAGCCGGTGCCAAACGAAAACGAACAACGAAACGGGGCGTTTAAAGCAACAGCGAACAACGAAACGAAACAACAACGAAGTACGAAGCGAAAAACAAAACAAGGGTCCAAACCAAGCTAAACAGCGTTGTGGTCGGTCCTTGGGAAAATGCCGCAGGACCATGGGGAGTCTGGGGCTCAGGCCATGCTGTTTCGCGGTGCCGCACTCTTGTCGCACAGTCGGATCGCAGGGTCGCCGATCCTGGCCTGGCCGACCCCTGCGCCCCTTGCGGTCCAACGCCGGGCGGGCGCGTGCGCCGATGCTGTGCCCAGGATGGGCCCAGGCCAGGTTCGGTAAAGCGATCGGCTGACGCCCCCCCTGTCTGGCGCGTAGGGGCTGTCCTCCTCGTCCTCGAGAAGAAGAAACAGCGGCACAGTTCTCACTGGGATTGCTCGGAGGTTGAGGAGGGACGCGGAGGTCCTCCTCCTTCTCCTCCTCCTCCCTCCTCCACCTCCTCACTCCGCCTCCTCTCCTTCGAGAAGGAGAAAGAGGAGGCGGAGGCGGCGGAGGCGGATTCCTCGAATCGGCGCTGGACCTCCCTCCCCAGCGCGCAGAGCGAGCCAGGGGCGGCACCCGAGGCGCCGCCGGCGGGGGCCCAGCGCAGATCCAGGCAATCCCCGCGGAGGTCCGACGCTGGTGCTCTATGCCGCTTTTCCGTCTTCGATCCTGAAGGTCGATGGGCGGCAGCATCTGCGTCCTCACAGGTTGGGGCTGACGCTCCGTCGGCTGCGCGTCGACCGCCACCCGGTCCTCGGCCGGTGCCGGCTGGCCGCCGCCCTCCTGCGTCGCCAGGGAAGGGCTCGGAGACTTGGGCCGCTGTCTGGCGGCGCGAAGGAGGGGGTGGCGCGGGGGGGAGGCCTCCGAAGAAGGCGGCCCCGATCTCCGAGGGAATGCTCGCTGGCATAGGCTCTGGAAGCCGGGGAGGAGGAGAAGGAGGAGGAGGAGGACGATGAGGAGCAGGAAGAGGATAAGGATGGGGAGGGGGAGGAGGAGGACGAGGAGGAGGAGGGAGGAGGAGGACGAGGAGGAGGACGAGGAGGAGGAGGAGGAGGAGGGGGAGGAGGAGGAGGAGGAGAGGAGGAGGGAGGAGGAGGAGGAGGAGGAGGAGGGGAGGAGGAGGAGGAGGAGAGGAGGAGGAGGAGGAGGGAGGAGGAGGAGGCGGAGGAGGAGGGAGGAGGAGGAGGAGGAGGAGCGGCAGAAGCCCCCGGCTGGGGCCCCAGATCTGGCCAAAGAATAGTCGCGCTCCCCCCACATACCACGACAGCCCCTTAATGTCATCGCCCTCGGCCGAAAGTCCTGCCATCGCCCACATGTATCCGTGCCAGAGCAATTTCCTTGTTGTCGAGAAAAAGAAAAAACACATAAACATAAACTTGTGGCGCTCCACGCGGATTGCTTGGATTCGCCCTGGACCCCCCTCCCTGGCGCGCGGAGCGCGCCAGGGGCGGCGCCTCCCAGACGCGTATCCAAGAAATCCGCGCGGAGCGCCAACAAACTATGTCTATGTAGTTGTTTCTTCTTCGATTGTCATCTATGGCACCCGTGAACCACCCCGCCCGCCCCTTCCCCTCTCCCTGGTCACGTCACGATTCGCGCAGGCGCCGTGGGGGAATCAGCCCTTCCTGAGCACGCCCGGACGGCGCCTGCGCGAATCGTTGCGTGACCGGCCCCCTCCATCCATTGCCCCCCACGCTGGCGGGACAACCAAGGCAGCCACGAGAGGAGTGCACATTCTGCAGGCGTGTGTTGCAGCGCTCTCGGCTCGGACCCGGACGGCAGCTCGGCGCGTGCCCTTTTGAGCGGGCCCTCTGCGCACGGAGGCACGGCCCGTGGCAGGTGCGAGCTCAAGCGGGCGGCGGGGGGACCCGCCCCGCCCTGGCAGCGCGGGGGCTCCGCCCTGGCAGCCCTTCCTCGGGCGCGTGCCACTCGGGGGCCCTGGCGTCCGTGGTCCGGGCGGGCGTCTCCGTCATGGGGGGGGGGGTCTGGGAGAAGTCCTCGGTCGGAGGGCGCGACCTGGCGTCGGCAGCGTCGAGGCGACATCTGCAGGCTCTTCGACGAGGCTCGGGCGGTCATCGAAGGCATCGTTGGCCACGAGATCGGCCGCTGGGAGATCTCGCCGCGATATCGTGTACGACGACGTGCTTGGCGTTTCCTGACCGTTGGGCGTGATCGGCGAGCACCAGCGATCGTTCGCGAAGCGCGATATCCAGGAGCACGTCGACTACGTGACCACAGATTCGTGCCTATGCTAGGCAACACCTGGTTTAGAAGGAAAACTGCAGAAACATAAAAAAAGTTGGTTGGCGCAGATTTATTGGATCGGCGCTGGACCTTCCTCCAAAGCGCGTGGCGAGATCCGCGCCTGAGGCGCCGCCAGGAGACCCCAACACCGATTCACGAAATCCGCGCGACCCTGGAACGTGTATGCTTATGATTCATGCTTCTTCTTCGAGTTGCCAGACTACAGCGAGCATGCCAGCAGAGCAGGGGCAGATGCCAGAGGCGGCGCAGCCAGCAGGAGGCTTCGCCAACGGAGCACACATCCTTAATGCAGGCGTGTGCTGCAGCCCTCCAAGCTCTAAAAGGGAACGGCGGTTCGGCGCGCGTCCGCGAGCGTGCGCTCCGATCATGTGCTGACTCCAAATGTTTGTTCCTCGATTTCGGCCTCCCTGGGACCATCACACTTGAGCCCAGGGCAGAAAGCCAGCAAGGGGAAAGGTTTGCGACGGCCACGCATTGAACAACTCACATCGTCGATGTCCGTGGGGAGGGGGAGTGGAGTTGTGACCCCAGAAAAGGGCTGGTCGAGTGCAATCGATTGGGACCTTCTGGTGCTAAAACGGGAAGCTCGAATCAGGAGCCATCCCTTACCACCCCCTGCCCTGCTGACTCGGTTCCTTCACCCCTCGCTTGAGCAAGGACTGAACCTCCTGCCATCCCTATACACCCGCCACGCAATGTTCTTAGCATAATTCTTGAATCACGAGAACATGAACCTGCTGTGTTGCAACAGGACGGTCTCAGCCGGACATGTTCTAGGAACATCTCGCGCACACCACAAACAATAGAGGCTATTAGAAGATTTCCTGGTGGGCCTAACTCTGGTAGGCAAGCAAGGACGCTTCGCCACTGCTTGACCCACGCTAGGGAAACGAACAATGACATGAACAGAACAACTTTCAGGTCGCCCCTGGCGCGCTCCACGCGCCAGGGAGGGGGGTCCAGCGCGGATCCGAGAAGTCCGCGCGGACCTCCAAATTTCTATGTGTATGTCATTGTTCGTTCCCCTACGCGCTGCCCCCTCCGTGCGCGCCGCCAGGCTGTGCCTCTGCCTCGCAAAACGGCGGGGGTTGCAGCGACCCCGCCACCCGCCGCGGCGAGGCGGCCAGCAGCGGGGCCGCTCCCGGTAGGGGCTGCAGCGCCTGCGCCGCGGCCTCGTCACCCGCGCCCTCATCGCCCGCGAGGTCCGGCAGCCTCCTCCTGGCTACACGCAGGAGCATAAGAGCCCAGAATCGAATCAAATCGGGAAGTCGGATCGGCGATCGAAACGAATGGGATCGGCGGAAATCGGCAGCCGAATCGTAAAAACAAAATCGGCGGAACTCGGCAGGCTTGTACGCCTTCAATACAAGATCGGAGCCCAAATCGGAATCCCAAGTCGAATCGAAACGGAATCGGAAGCCGTCGAGATCGAATCGAATCGAATCGGAGAAGTCGCGAGATGAGCCCTGCAGGAGTGGCCCCAGGCAAGAGTGACCTTTGGTGCGCGGCGGGGGGCGCGGGGAGGCCAACCCCGAGCGCGCAAGCCGCTGCCATCGCATCGCATGCGGCCAGCTGGGGACCCCGGTGTGCCCGCACAAAGAAAATCACTCCAGCGAGCGCTCACTCTTGTAGCCAATCCTCGGCTGCTGCGGCGACGCCAGCCCTGCGTATCCAGTACACGTCCACATCCACCGCCGAGGGGGCGTGATCCTGGGGACTCGGGGAGCAGTCGACACATGGACATCTGACCGCCCACGCGGGCAGGCAGATGCCCACATGCCCCACGCCTCGAGATCCCAGGGCACGGCTCCGGAGCGGTGTGATGGGTCCATTCCCCACCACCACTACCAGAAGTAGGAGAGGGAGGAGGAGGGGGAGGAGGACGAGGAGGAGGAGGAGAAGGAGAAGTATCTCCTCATCCTCCCCTCCCACCCGTCCTACACATGGTAGTGATGGTGGCAAACGTGCCCATCACGGTGGATGTGGACATATATCTTGGTGGTGGAAGGCCGGCGCCGAGCGGCGAGCCGACCCCGAGGGTCCCCGCGAGGGGTATGAACGTGAAGTGCAGGCCGGGCAGCGCGCCCGGGGCGCCAAGGCCGCCAGCCGGGGCGCCCTGCAGCGGCGCCAGGGACGACCCCAGCGTCAGCGTATCGCTCGGGCCGAGATCCAGCTCTTCGCCTCGGAGGGTCTCGGATTTTGCGGAAAAAAAACACGCCGGAGCGCAAGGTGCGCGGGGGCGCCGCCGGGGGGGCCCAGCGCGGATCCAAGAAATCCGAGCAGAGAGCCAAAAGTTTACGTTCATGATATTTTTCCTTCTTCGGTGTGCTTCAGTGTGTAGACGCTCCAGCGCCCCACAGGTTGGAAAGCTGGGGCCTCTAGACACCGAGCCCCTTGGCCGACGAGACGTCTCGGTGTACTTCGAGCCCCACCCATCGCCTTTGCCGCAAGGGGCGCTGTAGTTCAACACCACGCCCGAGGGCCCGACCACCCGCAGGCGGAAGCGGTAGTCGGGCGGCTCGCTGGAGGCGGGGTTGCTGCGGCGGAGCGCGCGGATGTCGAAGTGGTCCACGTCCAGCGCCGCGGCCCAGCTGCTGCTTGCCAAGAGAGACGGCTGCACGGCCCGCTGCCAGAAGCCGCGCTGGTAGTGCCGGCCCACGCGGAGGCTCGGCAGGGCGGCCTCGCCGACGTCGCAGCAGAAGAACAGCTGCCTCGCCTCCGCCGGCAGGTCCTCGCGAGCGTGCCCGCCGTGGACCTCCAGGCAGAACAGCGCCTCGCTGGGGACCCCCGTGGCCGCCTCCGACGTCCGCCACCTGCCAGCGAGCGTGCCGGCCGGTGGCCGCTGGGCCTCGTCACCGTCCGGCGGCGCCGCCAGGGGCGGCTGCGGCGGGCTGGGCACCTCAGTGGGCCTCGCAAGCGGCAGGGCCGTTTCCTCCTGCCGTTTCCACGGGTGACTGTGCGGGCGGCAGTGTAAACAAAAAGCGGTCCCCGAACCCAGAAAAGAACGCCAGGATCGGGACCAGGACAATAAGAAACGGTGACGGTGGATGGAACGCAGAAGCGGACACCGTGGTATGGTGCGCCGCCCTGGGAGGCGCCCGTCCGAACCGAACGTGTAGCACAAACCTACTCGATTATGCTGTTACCCAGGCGGTATGGCCAGAACGCGCCCGCCACCAAACACCACACGGTTTCCGAGCGCACTCGTCGCTCATGTGAGGGCGACGCGCAAATCATGTCAATACGTTGACACGCGAGGATGCCTTACAACCTGTTTGCGTTGCCGCACTTGCCTTCCCCCCCATTCTTTACTACCGCTCTTACTCCCGCCCCTACCACAATTACCTCGGGCCCAGGTCCCCCTGGAACTCCCCAAATCCATTCCTCGCCCTCTCATTCCCCGTCCTGGACCTCTGCCTCGGCGACCGCGGCGAGTAGAAGCAAGAGGACCCTAGCAAGCCGAGGATTGTGTAAGTCCCACCAGCCCTTTAGGGCGTGAGTGGTTTAGATAGTCCTCTCTGTTCTCAACCCCCTTCTTCCCCTTCGGGGAGGGGTTTACCCCTCCCCCTCCCCCCTCCCCCTGGGCCTGGAGAGGGGGGGCCGCGGGTCGCCGGAGCGTCCTGTGTCGGTCCCTGGGAGGCTCATTTTTTGACACCCCTACAGGGATCGTGGCCCTGGGGGGGGGGGGAAGGGGGGGGGGGCAAATAAGTGCTTTCGTCTTCTTTGGCCGATCTCCTCCAAGATGGCCCCAAGAGCGCTCCCAGGGCCCCCAAGAGCACTCCCAAGACGGCTCCAAGACGGCCCAAGAGGGCCCCAAGACGGCCCAAGCGGCGGCCAGTACGGCCCAAGAGGGCCCCAAGACGGCCCCAAGAGCGCCCAAGTAGCGCCCAAGAGCGGCCCAAGAGAGACCCAAGCGGCTCCAAGACCGCCACAACACTGCTCCAAGTGGCCGCGAAGCCTCCCGAGGACGCCCCCGAGAAGCGAAGACGGCCCAAGAGGTCCCCAAGTCGCTCCAAGAGAGCCCCGAGAGGCGCCCTAAGAGGGCCACAAGAAGCCAAAACCATTGATTTTCCGTTGGCGTTTCAAACATTTTAGCGTTCCCGCCCTTTCGGCTTCCCGACGCTCCAAGACAGCCCAAAAGGCATGCAATACCGCCCCAAGACGGCCCAATAGGCTCCCAAGACGGCTCCAAGACGGCCCAAGAGGGCCCCAAGACGGCCCACGCGGCGGCCAATACGGCCCAAGAGGGCCCCAAGACGGCCCCAAGAGCGCCCAAGTGGCGCCCAAGAGCGGCCCAAGAGAGACCCACGAGGCTCCAAGACCGCCGAAAGACGGCTCCAAGTGGCCGCGGAACCTCCCAAGGACGCCCCCGAGAGGCCAAGACGGCCCAAGAGGCCCCCAAAACGCTCCAAGAGAGCCCCGAGAAGCGCCCTAAGAGGGCCCCACGAGGCCAAAATCACATGGGTTCCTTAAGTATTTCATACAGTTTAGCGTTCCCGCCCTTTCGACTTCCCGACGCCCCAAGACAGCCCCAAAGGCCCGCAAGACCGCCCCAAGACGGCCCAAGAGGCTCCCAAGACGGTTCCAAGACGGCCCAAGAGGGCCCCAAGACGGCCCAAGCGGCGGCCAGTACGGCCCAAGAGGGCCCCAAGACGGCCCCAAGAGCGCCCAAGTTGCGCCCAAGAGCGGCCCAAGAGAGACCCAAGCGGCTCCAAGACCGCCACAACACTGCTCCAAGTGGCCGCGAAGCCTCCCGAGGACGCCCCCGAGAAGCGAAGACGGCCCAAGAGGTCCCCAAGTAGTCGAAAACAAGCTGGTAAGCTTAGGTATGTGTTACGCTTTAAGCGTTGCCATATCCCAGGCTTTGGCTCATATCGCATGAGCAAGAGTGCAAGACGAAGCATGGGATCTGGAGTAAAGGATAGGATGGGCATCGTCAATGGAAAAGGTATTTTCCGATCTCTGATGCAAGTCGTGCGCCTCAGTGAGGCACAGTCATATATTTGGCCGGGCCCGGCTTGAGCCAGGCACGGCAGCGGTACATGCTCGATTTATACCTCGCCTTTAACCTTCTCCGTTTAAAGTCGGAGGGGGAGGAGACGAGCAGGTACCGCACTTCTACATTATGCGGAAAAACAGTGCTAAGCAGCAGCGGCTGCCTACAAGGAAAGGGCGCGCGAGTAGCCTCGCTACCGGCGAGTTTCCTCGCTACTAAAGCGCACCTGCCCGCGGGTTTCCCCGCTGGCTCGGGAGGCAGGGCCGTCCTGAGACGACCTGCCCGCCCTATACGGCGTATGTTTCTTCAGCTCGTGCTTGAAGGATTGCTGGCCGGCCATTACTTGTAGGAGCAACGCGCGGTCAATACTACCTTTGGTATGACCATCGGCAGTCATATCCCGCGTGTCACACCATTGGACGCTTTCCACGATTCCGCGTTCCATCATCTGGCGGATCCAGCTGATGTGCCCAAGCAGAGTACATTCTGTGGGCTTCTTCAGATCTTTGCTAGACAAAGACTTGAAGACAGACTCGGCATCAATAGTCAGAGTGACTTTGATACATAGACCACCCATTTCCAATATGTTCTTTAACTGTGTGGGGGTCAATGGTCCCGAGTGTAGCTCGTGGAGCGTTACAATGGTCGGGTAGCAGTCTTCCAAGTTGTGGGCTGCTGCCAGTGTTTCCGCAGAGTAGCTCGAACGCACCTGCAGTCGATGAGACTTGCAGTATGCGTCCACCAGGTGCACGACGGGTTTCCCCGCTTGCGTGTGGCCACGCCTCAGCAGGTTAGCCCCGCGGATACCATAGCCTTTGACTTCGTCGTCTTCATCTCCGTTGAGACGACGATAGCCAGAATCGCTATGCAGGTCGACTTCTCCTGTTGGGGTCATAGCTTGATACACGATCTTCTTCGGACCTGCCTGTAGCTTTCTGGTAACCGCGTTTAGTCGTCGTACCTGGATGTTTGTCGGTTCCTGGATACGTTGTAGTGAGACAACATAGACCATCAGCCATACCTGCGTGATCAACGCATAGGCTAGAGCGCCACGAAGACTGACGAACATATCAGAAATCGTCTTTGTCGCTTTGCTCTCAGGATCAGCTCCTGTGAGTTCTGGATGTGTGATAGGACGAAGCTGTTTGATGTATTCGTCCTGATCGAGAGTGACGCTCCCATCATCGGTCTTGTTGTACCGAACGGCACAGTTTGTGTATGTGTGCTTGTTCAGTTTGCACTTCCCAAACGTATCTTCAACACACTTGACATACTTGTCAATAGCCTCTTCCTTCCCAGTCATATTGATGTCATCAACGTGCTTGGCTGTCAAGAGGTTTGGGCTCATCTCGAACTCTTCGTCGTATGAAGTAGGCTGTAGCCCAAAGCTCCTAGTGATGGACCTGAGCTTCAGCGAGAATGCCCTGGGAGCATCCTTCGTGCCCGTCCCCGGTTTCAGACACCGGAGACAATGCTTTGATTCGTCATATGACTCAAAGCCTGGCAGTGTGCGAAGGACAGCTGCTGACCCAGGTGGTAGTGTGAAGCACACCACACGCTCTTTCTCGCCCGTTGCCGCGGCGAGCTCGCCATAGGTCAGTCCCTTCAAGAAAGCCATGTTGATGTCCAGGGAAGCGATGATCCAAGCTTTGTTGCATGCAGCAGAACTTGCGAGCAGTCTCTGGCTTGACCTCCTTGCCGTGCCAGAGAAGGTTTCGACATCAAAGGCTTCAAGGTCCATGAAGCCACGGAGTACCAAGCGTAACCTGATCGTCCTTTCCATTTCGCCCTTTTCGTTCTTGACAAACTTCCATTTGTATACGTAGCGTGACGTCATGATGTTAGACGCCTTGCTTAAGTCAGTCATCTGGAAGCATTTGTTGTCAAGCCAAGTCTTCAATTCTGTGTAGAGGGCTTTGGAAACTTTGACCGGATTTGCTTGGATGTCGGCCTTCGTGAGTAGATCGTCTTCCTTGACGACCACGGCACGTTTGGAGGCAGCGCTAACGTATACTCGCATAGTTGTGACGCTGCTGTCATCCAACAATCGGTGTTGCTGCTCGGACAGGACGACTTTGGACATGTCTGCAGTGAAGCAGAGCTCGATGTACTTCCCGTGCTCATCGGAGTCCAGATCATATTTGCTATCCGGATCCGTGGAGCATAAAGGAACGTAGTAAGAAGTGTCCATGTCGTATCCTGGCGGGTGACCCCGCTCCGGCAAGTGGCCTTGCACATCTTCACAGGTCGTAGAGACTAACACACACTGTGTGTCTGTCATGTATGTGGGAACTGTATGCATGACTTCCTCTGTGTCAGCTTCAAGGAGTGTTCTGTCATCCATCAGTTCAGCATACCACGACTTCAAGACAAAAGCATCCAGATCTTCTTCTGTTTCCTCTATGATGGTCGGGAGCCGACCATCGTTATCCGTAGGAGGCTCCTCAGGAGCAGCTGCTGGAGGTGATTCGCTTGGTGGTGGACCATCAGCGAGTTCCTCAAACTTAGTGAGGTCTTGGTCAAATCCAGCAGACGGCTTCCTGGATTTAAGACACTGGATGATGCGTGAGTGTGTAGATCCTGTGATGTCATAGATGTTCAAGGCAGTGCCATCAGCTTCATAGTAATGAAAACCAGGGGTCACATCATTATCATAGTGCACTAGTGTACAGCTGTCTGCATAGGGTGCAGCAGGCAACTTCGTCAGGCTCTTGGCAAGTCGTACAGCAACAACGTTTTCAATACGAAAGTAGTTGCGTATGAGGTACTGAAGAGCCAAGTGCACCTTAGGCGAAAGTCGGCTCGCAGCAGTCATCTGCAGCCGACCCTGTTTCGCTGGTAGATATCCGAAAGTCATGGCGGGTTTCCCCGCTGGCAGACCGGCAATAAAGGCCAATACTGTC